GGGGGGGGGGGGGGGGGGGGAGGGAGGGAGGGAAGAAGGAAGAAAGATGCATGAAAATAGAACACTTTGAACCATTTGGGCTTCTTTGAAGTCTTCGCATCTTTGCCAATACCCAGGTGCAGAGGACAATTGTACCCCACCCTATTGCTTTCAGATACCAACCCTGCTACAACATACAGTGTTGCTCAGTTCTGTGCAGCAGCACTCAGAATTCATTGGATGATTATCTGTTCTATAAACTAGATTTAATGAGCACCTACTTCACCATATTAGAGTGCTCTGTAACTTGACTGGTATGCTCCCCTACACCGACTTAATGCTCCTACCCCTTCTTTTAGATTCTCACTTTTTATATATGCCTTTAGTTTTTAATTTATATACCTTTTACATCTTCTAGCTTTTCATATTTTTTTAGATTTTTATTTTTATTCTTGATGTATCTTTTATGCTTTTTTGAGGACTGTACCCCACCTTTCTCATGCTGGTCTATGGCTGTAATAAAGATTTGATTTAAGCAATTATTGTACAGTTTGCAATATCTGGCTTGTCTTCCTTGTATGTAAAAACGTTGCTATGGGGTCATCTGAGGAAATCATGGCTTCTGAGTCCACACAGGGTAGCTGTATTTAATATTGTGACATAGGAACTGGGCCACGATCAAATCACTTTCTAGAACTCCAGTCAGAACACATGAACATTACCCTTTGCTGTACTCTGGTCCATAAAATAAAAAAAGAAAAGAAAAACCCTACTCTGGATCTGACCCAAGGTCCATTAATTTCTTTCTTTGTAAAACTGATGATAGATTATATGCCATCAAGTCACATAATCTTAGTGATCCTGTAGATAGATTTATGTGGTTGCTAAAAGTTGACACCAACTGGATGGCCCTAATAAACAGAATTTGAAAACAGTAACTTTTCTCTACTAAGTTGTCCCAGTTTCTGGCAAATGCTATTCAGCAAAATGTATATTTCATATGGCCACTGAGAAAGCTCCTTTCATATTTTTTAATCCACTCCAAAAGTCTGTACTAGGAGAAAATGTGCCCAAAATGCACAGAGCACACAGATAGCATGCACACACTGTATTTTCATGCTTATTTTTAAAATTTGTGAATATCTGACTTGGTGACATCAGTTTCAACTAGAGGAAGTATGTGAAAGGAAGCTAAAAAGAGTTTTGACAGAATTGAAAAGATGAAAAAGTGGAGGTATATGATAAAAGAGATTTTCAAATTTTTCCCTTCCAACCCCACACCTGGCAAAATCCTACAATTTTGTTGGGAGGATATTTCAAAGAACTGTGGGAGCCGAAGACCATAGATCTCTAGATTCTTAGTTCAGAAAACACTGTTCTAAGTCATACTTGGACTGCATCCTTTGTCATTTCAAAGTTGATGTGAATGTCTGTTACACAGCTGGCTAGTTTGATTTATAATATTTAATTGATCCCCATAAACTGGAACTGGACAGCTTTTTTCTATTCAGGTCCATACTTCTGAAGGGCCATTGTTAAATACCAGTGGTGGATGTGAGGGGCTGAAACCAGTAATGGATAGGAGTGAAGCCAATAGTGGGTAAAACATCCATTCCTCTCCCTGCCCGCTTTTTTTCTCTTTTTGATATTTTTTCTCTCTCTCTTACTTCAACTTTTAGAAACATTCAGCATAATAACAGGGTAAATATCATGGCTTCTGATTCATGATAGCAAGTTTAATTTGTCTAATATAATGAAGAAAGAGTGAGAGAGAGAATGTTCCCACGGCTATAGTATTTTAAAATATACATCCATGTGTGAACTCATCTTCCTGGCATTAATTCAATTTTTTAAAAAGGGGGATCATGAACTTTAACAACAATCATCATGGGAAAACACTAATGTTTTTATTCCCCTGGGAAAAAAAACACAGTTACCCTCATTGGGTGCACAGAAATTTGGATTTCACCTTAAAATACAGGTACATATATAAATAGTATATTGTAAAAAAAAAAAAACCAATAATGTGATTGATAAATTTTATAGGCATATTATCAACATATGGGACTTGGATAGAGATCGTTACAATGACAGCAACAGAAGATGACTTAGAAGGTTTTAGGAAAGTTAACGATTCATAAAACAGTGCTTATCAGTAATCAACACATCAAAAGTGGGAGCTATGGATCAGTGGATTCAAGACATGCTTTGAGCATTTCGAGAGACACTGCCCTGATTCAAAGATCCATGCAAGTTCTAAAGCAGGCATATATGGAAATCTTGGGCACGTAGGTTTTCCCATTTATTTCAATGGCGGGACCTTTGATCATATGCTACGATTTGCATGCCCAGAACCTGTCCCTCCATCAAATTGGAGGCGTCTTTAGAAAACAAAATAATCACTTCATACCAAACCCATGAAATCAATGGTCTGCCAGAGAGTAAGTTTTGCAGAATTTCTGTTCCTACACTGTATTCAGAATGTGCAGATTACTTCTTGCCTATATGTTTACAATGAAATTGAGGACTATTGATATTCAGACATGAACATGGATGATCCTGGATAAATGTTACAAACGTCCCCCAAGGTAGGACACATTCGTGAACGTTAAGTTAGCATCTGAGCACTCACAACATTCACTGGCGATTGCTCACGTTCCAAGGTCAGGGCCAAAGTTCTCTTGCAACACAACGTTTTTTTGCTTTCAGTACCTGAAAAGCAACCAACTAGGGAAAATAAAAAATAAAAAAAACTGGCCTTACTGTTCCCTCTTGCTCAAACTGCAACCTGAAAAATGAAGACGATTTGATACAAAAACCTGATTAAAAAGCTCACACATGCCACATAGTTACTGAGAAAAGGTATGAAAGGAAACAATTCACGCCAATACCTGAAACCTTAATCGAATCAAGAGATGAGAAAGTGTATAATATTCATACATTAACGACGGTCCTATATTTTAATATATATAGAGATATATATGTATATATATATATATATATACCATTGTGTGTATAAAAAAGCTTGTGGATGAGTCCTTGGTGAAGAATTTTGAGACATTTTTGTAAATGGTTTCATAAAGAGCAGGAGAGAACTGAACAGAGATTGTAGCGTTAAGAAATTGTTGCTGCATTTTTGCCAATTTTCATTGTACAATAGGAGACCCCCCCCAAAAAAAGAAGTCCCCCCAAAGTCTTCAATTTCTACCTCTACATACAATAACTTACAAGTTTATTTATTTAAATAATTGTAAAACATCTTACATTTTTTCCATTTGAAAAGAGATTAAACTATAAGTCAATACACACATACGTCCACATTCCACCATTCATATCAGCATATCAGTTTTATAGGAAAGTCTTTCATGCTGGTACCCTGTTTTGAGATTTCTTTTTTCTGCATAAACTAAATTGGTATCTGAAAGGCTCCATAGAAAATAGAAACTTCAACTTTTTTTCCTACAAAGTAAAACAAAGAGTATCCAAAATATCAAGCTTGAATGGTTGGCCAATCTGTTCCTTCTTTTAATTTTCTATAAACATTAGGAAGGCTTTGAGTCCACAGGGAAAGAAAAGAAAAAGAAAAAAGCTTGTGCTCCAGATTCAATCCCATAACCTGCATACATCTGGATCTTGGCCAATTCCTATTTTTTAAAAAAATGTTCTTGAGTATTGATATCTCCAACTTGGAACAGCATCTCTATAAAATTTCCTTTTCTTCTGGCACATGGCTTCCCCCATCAACTGCGCTTCTAGTGCTTCATATTTTTTTTTCCTTTTTAAAGTTCCATAACAAATAAGTAGTTTTGTGCTGTAGAAAAAAAAAGGGGGGGGGGCAGGGAGGAAATCCCAGGAATGCCTTCTCTTCTTTCACATTGGAGGAAAAAAAAAACCAGTCATGGCTGGGGAAAAAAAAAACAAGACAATATTTACATTTTCAAAACAGAAACGTGCAGAAATAATGCAGTTCATAGGGTTGGCAAGGGGGCAGGAAGAGTTTCAAACAAAATGGCAGCCGGGGCCATACCATTGAAGTCCCGCCTTTTTATAACTTACATCATAAAGAAGGGCGGGGCTTCAAGGGCATGGTTCTGGCTGCCATCTTGGTTGTTTGACTCTCCTGTGGAAGCCGATGAAGATAGATCGAGCCTCAGTCATTTGTACCTGTTCCTTACCAGATTGTGCCTTTAAATGTTCAGAAACTTTCACTAGTCCAGAAGGTGAGAACCACGATGAGAATAGGAGCATGCCGATTGGAACATACAATGTTCATTTGATTTAAATGCATAGCTATGCAAACATAAACCTACACCTGGAGTTTCTAAAAGAAACTAGCAAAGTGTGTATATCTGATTTAAAACAGTCTACTCTAGAGTTATTCTCTTATGAATGCATGGATAGACAAACAGATCCACGCACTCTTACTTCTTCCTTATAAATCCTAATGTATTTCAACACTGATTTTCCTATCATTCTGATGCTGAAAATGTTCACACATGCTTTTCACCCAGGGAACTTTCTACGCACCCCTTCTTCCTTGATTTTAGGTGTAAGTTTCAAGGTTTTCAACAGCCTCTAATGTTTACAATGCAATCCTATATTTGCATACTCCAAAGGAAACCCTGTGGAATGTAGAGGGACTTACTCCCAATTAAGTAAACAACTATAAGACTGCACTGTTTGTTTCCATTCTGACATGGGAAAGAGGAGACATGCCACCTTTTTGTTATATTCCATCTTGACTTATGAATAACTTGGATGCTAAATACTAAATTAGCCCTCTTCAGACATTAAAAAAATTAAAAAAGGACATGCTGGCAGACAAGTGGGATTTATTCAGCCCTTTTATTAGTTTTGGGTAACCATGGGGGGGATTAGTAATTAATAGTCAGCCTTTTTTTTTCCTTCTCAAATTTATAATACAATCATATACAGAAATCCACAACATACATCCCCCCCACACACAGACAGAAAGAGCTGTTAAAAAATGCTCAAAAGAAAATAAACTGAAGAGGATGAGGGGGCAGGTGGGGGAACATCCTCATGATTGAAAATTTGAATTTCAGATTTGTGAAGCTAGTTGACCAGAATGAATATGAATCCCCCCAAAGCATAAGCAACATTGGGCTTCGTACTAAATCCCGCCTCAACTCTTGGGCAGGGGCAGTGGAAAGTACTCCCTGTTTTCTCAGCTTTAACTTTCTCCAGTCCAAAGTGGCCTTTTAACATTCTCAGTCAAAGTGGTGGGCAGAGAAATTGGCAAGACCTCTTCTTGGATTTCCTCCAGGGAAAGGCTTAGGGGAAATTTGCTTTCCTCCTATGGAATGAGAGGTGGTAAGAAAATAAATGTCCATTAAACAGGTATGGGTGATTAAGACTAGGAAGGATATTTTTGATGAAAGACCAGGAACTTAGCAACTGCTCTGGGCCAGCTGGATACTTCCTTCACTGACATAAATCCCCTTCTAATACATGGCTTCTTCAATTATAAAATAATGGAAGGAATATTAATTGATTTCTAAAATGTTCAAATCTTTCCCAATATAGGAGAAGGTGACTTAGTGGATCTTTGTAGCTTCGCTTTTGTTCTTGGAGGCTCTTTCCTCCCACCTCCTTTGGGGCTCTGCTGTCAAAAAGCCTATTTCCCAGTCTGCACTACTTTTTATTGAATGTTTGTGAGCTTCGGATTAAGGTCTTACACCACTCGCAAAGCTGTAATTATTTTTGCCTGTATTACTATATATTGAATCGATGTAACTTTTCAATAAAGGTGGTTCAATGCGGGACAAGGCATTCTGTGATGAGTGGGGAATATAGGAACTGCAGTGATTATTCCACAGGGATCCCCTTCTCTCTCTCTCTTTTATTTTGTTTTATTGGAGAGAAATGGAAGAAAGAATTGGAGGTGAGCTGTCTTGTATTAACCTCCAAAGGCAGCCATTATCAGATGAAATGCTTGATTAAACTTGTCAAAAATCATCCAGAAGCTAAGATGAGGTGCACATCTTAGGCATATGTTTTTAATAATACTAATAAACACCTCTCTGAGAAAGGAACTTTTGTTTCTTTCCTTATTTAAAAGGAAAAAAATGAAAATTTGAGCAGAACTGTCCTTAAGATGCAGATAAATGAAAGAATGGAAGGAAAGGTGGGAATGTAAAAAAAGTGAATTTCTGAGGATAGATAAAGGCTGCCACCATGTTCAAAGTGGGCTTTGGGGAAGAGCTGTTTGTCTGTCCCCAGAATCAATGTCCCTCTGTTAAGTCTATTGGCCATGATAGCATATAGCAACTCTGGCAAGATCTTGGTAGATTTCTATGAGATGCTCACCAGGGTTGATTTCCCACAATTTTATGAGGTAGTATGGCTTCAGAAACTTAAAATGATGGGTTTAAGTTTCTTGAAGAATAGAGAAAATGTGCAGCGGAAGGGAGGCAACTGTTGTATCCTTCAGCACCTATGGGCCTTTGTTAGTTGCCTGAGAAGGCCAGAAGCTGCTATTGAATTCCAGGTCCTCAGAATATGGGATACCTCCAAGTAATTACTACAAAACAGCCTTTAACCAAAATCAGATGTTAAATACATTTCTTTGTAACATGCTAATGAAAGTGCTCCCATGTTCACATTGGTTTTGAAAAACCTCCAGACTTCCTTCTGCAGTGCAGAACGCATTTGCTAAATATTGACATTCAAATGAGAATGCCAATTATCTCATTTGGTGTATGCCCTCGGATTCCTAGGCATTTTACTCATCTTTCTGACATACTTTGGTAAATGCTGAACAGTTTTATCTAAAATTCACCCCAGCAAAGGAATTGTGCAGCAATGGACTTCAATTTTTTTCCACCATGAACCAATATGGCCATATTAGTTGTTAATACTCAGATTTGGTAACTGTCAGCTTTCATCTCTATAACAGGTGGGAGCATTTAGTACATGGATGGAAAACTACAAGGAAATTCCAGAGTTATAGACTAAGCTTCAGATTGGGGGGCGGAACATAGAAGGCAATGACAAACTAGCATATTTTTTCAAAGAAAATTATACAAGCATCATTGTGCAATCATCAGAAGTCCAGCTTGATTTGAGGAAGTCTTTGTTTATAGAATTCATTGATATGTCTCTGAATTTGGGGGGCATTCACTGAGAACTGGTTGATTTTCAATATTTTGGACATTCACTAGGGCAGACTCACGGTTCCAGAGGCAATCAAATTTCTCAAGAGCCAAACTCAGGAATGAAAACAGGAGAGAGTTAAGCCCTCTGAAAAATCAGGCATACTTATTTAAAGAAGAAAATGCAATGGTGTGTAACACTTCCTCCTTTCATAAGCTTCTTCTGAAAAGGCCTCTGAGGGATACTCACGTAACTTGTTGGGAAAAAAAAAAAACAGCTTTGGTTTGGTAACAAGATACACGATCACTTTGGACATGCATTGCTCAAGTTCTATCAGCTCTCAAATTTCTTTCATTACTAACACCATCACGTCTTGAATGTTTCTTTCCTCCTTGTAAAAGCCTTGTTGAGATGACTATAAAATGTACTTGTGGAAGCACTGTGGAATTCCAGAGCTATTCTTTCAATATTTGGCACTTCTCCCATCTAAATTCACTGGATCCAGTGGAGAAACACTAAGCCATGTGATGGCTTCATTTTGCATCTATTTCACACCATCAGGCTATGCATATCTCAGTGCTGTGGCCACTTGTGGCAGTGTTCACTTTCTTATGCTGATGGGAAACCTAGGAATCAACTATGATTGGTGCAAGGACATAGTTTTCCTGCAATGGTGATGTGTGTGGTAATAATGGTTTGGTACTTACCGAAAAACTACCAGCTCCCAAAACTGGTGGGGGACAAGGGGGGCAATATGTGTGTTGCAATATCACAATGCAAACTCAACCCCTTTTGTGTATGGTTGCAATGCAGCCTACATGCACCTAAAGGGCAATGCTTACACTGTAACATCAGGGGGACAGATACTTTGCCACTCTAACAAAACCTCAAGGTTTAATGGATGCCCATGAAGGCAGGTAGAAAATAGATCAGGAGTAGATCCATCTGGCAGTAGATTCAGGATTGCTTTCAAAGCCTAATTTTTGAACCAAAAGGGTCCACTTTTTAAAATTGGAAGAAAAAAATAAATTGGAAGAAATCCAGAAATGGATGGATGGATCTCTCTCTCTCTCTCTCTCTCTCTGTGTGTGTGTGTGTGTGTGTGAGAGA